CGACTGACCTCCAAGTGGAAAAGTGCTGTTGAATATACTGAAGTTATATTTTCCATCTGACTTTTATCTCGCCAAGAGTGAGCCGTTTCTACAAAAAACAGACCAAATCCAGATATTTGCACACACACACACAAATCAGCAGAGCTGAAATCCCTCCAAACATGCGATGAAAAGGCAGATAAAGAGCGAGATCACACAAATGTGTCCAGAAAGCATTGGCGGAGACTCTTTACTCATGCTCAAGTGCTTTATTACATTAAAGCGCAGGAATAAAGAGCGCATTTGAAGTCTACAAAATAAAGCGTAACAGGATCCGCAGGAGCAGAGGAAAGGGTGTGCAGAAACGCCAGCCGCTGTCTTTAATGCAGGGAAATAACGCTTGGCGCATGTTTGTCTTGCTGTGGCACTAATCCTGTCGCCTTTTTTCATCCCTGATTCTTGCAACAACACGGCCTTCGGGAACTAATAAATGGACGGATTGGGTTTCCTCGCAGATGCCAAACTCCACAGGGTCAGAGCAGAGAGGTGCTGTTTATATTCAGGGCGTTTACGCTGTATTGATATTACTGGAGATATCAGCTGGAGCTGCAGATAAACCCGCTCGCATCAAAGCCCACAGAACAAAACTCCTCCGCTGCAGAAAGTGCTGTAGTTATGAGGTTAAAGGGATAGTTCACGCACAGATTTGTCATTTACTCATTATTTAATCGCCCCCAAGTGGTTAGAAACACAAAGGAAGATAATTTAAAGATTGTTGGAAACCTGTAACCATTGACTTTCATTCCACTTTAATGAAAAAATATTAAACAAACTCGATTACTGGAACCATTTAGCAGAAAACGGCATGTTTTACTATAGATTTAGGGCGCTGCCATCTTGTAACTTCGCTGTGTCTGACGTCACGGGGTTGGTTCCGTTCCCTCTGCTGAACAGAGCTCCAGGTGGCTGGAGCTCACCTCCTACTACGCGGCCAGCAGATCGCACAATCCTATATAGGCCTTTGCGATTGCTGCTGCTGTTTCCATACCAGGTGGTGATGCAGCCAGTCAGGATACTCTCCACAGTGCAGGTGTAGAATGAGCGGACAATGTGAGGGCTCAGTTTCCTTCGCAGGGTGATAAATCTCACCTAATAAATAGGGTGAGGAGCTCTGTCACCGGGGATGTGCCTGGGGTAGAGCCGCTGCTCCTCCACGCCGAGAGAAGTCAGCTGAGGTGGCTCGGACATCTGTTTCAGGATTCCTCCTGGAGGCCTACATAGGGACATGCTGGAGAGACTATATCTCTCGGCAGGCTTGGGAACGACTCAGGATCCCCCCTGGCGGAGCTGGAGGAAGTGTCTGGGGAGAAGTTCTCTCCTGAATCTGCCGCCCCCGTAACCCAGCCCCCGGAAAAGCAGATGAAAATGAATGAATGAATGAATGAATGAATGAAAATGTGGCTCAGTGTGCAGTGCACTTTACATAGAGATTATAATACTGACCACACATTTTGTGGTGTACTTTGTAATCAGTAACCGAGCTCTGCCCAAACGAAAGTATTAATTTAAATACGATTATTATGATGTGAGCGGGTCAGGACTGAAGGATCTCAGGGAGGAGCCGGGAGTGTAAACACAGCCCTCGTCTTCTGTGTGTAGCTTTTGCGTAGCTCTTCAAAGCGTCCAGAGCCTCCTAAAGCAGAATCAATAGCAGCCCGTGAGAACAGCCCAGGAGAGGACCTGATTGAAGGCACTCATGACCTCATTGCAGGTCCTGGCCGGTGGCAGCAGTATAGATGTGTTCGCTGATAGTGGACGAGTGTGTGTGGTTTGAGTTCAGACGGAGACAGAAAAGGGCTTGTTTGCGGAGGCTGGCATACGGATGTGTTTGCATACAGTGTGTTTTAGAAAAGTGAAGAGCTTTAGGACAGATTCACAGCAGCAGAGCATGCAGAGAGTTGTGGATTGGTTCATCTTGTTCATTACAAAATAGTTACATTAACTTTGTCCTATGAAACTCTAGTTATTCTCCATTTCAGCTGATTAATTAATGATATTGCTGATGAATCATAATCAGCATTCAACAGCAGTCAATATGTGAATATTATAATAATAATAATAACAGCAACAATTATTATTATTATTGTTATTATTATTATTATTATTATTATTATTGTTGTTGTTGTTATTATAATTATTATTATTATTATTATTGTTATTATTATTATTATAATTTATTATTATTATTATTATTATTATTATTGTTATTATAATTTTTATTATTTTTATTGTTATTATTATTATTATTTATATTTTTATTATTATTATTGTTATTATAATTTTTATTATTATTGTTGTTATCATTATTATTATTGTTGTTGTTGTTGTTGTTGTTATTATTATTATTTTTATAATAATAATAATAATAATAATAATTATTATTATTATTATTAATGATTTATTTATCAATTGCAGTCTTTTTCATTTAGCCATGGACATCAAGATTTAGCTGATGCAAGATTTTGGGAAATGCATTGTTATAAAAGTGCAGATGTTATATGTTATTTGTTAAAAATGAAATGTTTTTATATATAATAAAATGTATTTTTAGATGACATCTTTTTCTAAGCATAAACTCTAAAAAAAAAAATAATTAAAAAAAACTTCCTATATAATTATACTGGCAAACAAGTGAAATACTAAGTAACTGGGTCGTTTATTTCAGTGTGGTTGTGGTGATTTCTCTGAACTCCAGAAGCAGTGAGAGAAACTCAAAGGCTGTTCTTGTATTTTTCTGAAATAAGCTGAAGTGCTTTTACTCCAACAGTTCCAGTGGATGCTTTAACAATAACAGAGTAGGAACAATATCTCTATATTTGTCCTGGGGATGTATTTCTGACTGTTTGTAGTGACTGGCTGAAGTGAGCAGAGCATAGATCATAACAATCATCCCAGACCAGAAACAGCCAAACAGATGAAGCCAAGGAAAGAGTCTGATGGTCAAACTGTGGTCAGGTGTGGAAGAGAACTGTCTGCACGTAAAACATCACACCATCCTGCACTGCACAGCCCAAATTATATTGTTCCTCAGTATTTTACTTCTGTTTATGCAATACAAATGTTTCAACATCTTCCAGAATGCATTCAAACCTGTGTGCTCTTGATTCATTCCAGGTTGTTTGTTTATAAAACTTTAATTTCTTAAACTTTTTTTTTTAACTAAATCCATTTTAATCTGATTAGAAGCTTCTTGTTTTTTAAGTGAATGCATTATGAAGGTAAATCTAAATGTAAGCATGAAAAATGTTACAAAACTGAGCTGTGTAGCAAAAACTAAAAAATGAAAAATTTAACATAACAAAAAAGTTATAAAATGGAGCTACGTTACAAAAAGTACAGAACTGCGCTGTGTGACAATGTAACCATAAGTATGAAAATTTAGCTGTTTAACAATATAACCAAAACATAACAAAATCCAACCATGTAACGAAAGAGCACAAAAAATGTGTAATGTGTATTGAAATAGCAAAAAAGTGACCAAATTTAACGATGTAACAATGAATCTAACTAAAACAATGTAATGAAAATTAGAATTGTAACATTGTTACATTGTAACAAAATTTAACTATGCAACAAAAATGTAACAAAATGGAGTTGTGTAACAATGTAACAAAAAAAGGCAACTATCTAAGAATGTAACAAAAAAGTACAAAATAGAGCAATGTAACAATGTAACAAAATCAAACTGTGTAATAATGTAACAAAAATGTAACAATATTAAGCTGTGTAAAAAAAATAAACAAGATTGCATTTTGTAACAAAGTGCAAAACTGAGATGTGTAACAATGTAACCAAAATGTAAAACAAATGTAACAAAATTGAGCCGCATAACAATGTAACAAATGAATAAACGGAGCTGTAAAACATTATAACAAAAAAACAACAACTGAACTGTTACAACAACAAAATAGTAACAATATTGAGCTTTTAACAATGTAACTCTAAATGTAGCTGTGCAACAAAAATAAACAAAACTGAGCTGTATAGCAATGTAACAAAGTACAACATTACATGGATATTATTTTCTTGATCTGAGCATAAACTCGCTTCATTTTGTTTGCTTTTAAGTTCCTTCATTCATTCCATTTCCTTTGGCTTAGTCTCTGTCGCCACAGGGGAATGAACCACCAACTATTCCTGCATATAGTTTTTACACAGCGGATGCCCTTCCAGCTGCAATGCAGTAAACACCCATACACTCTCACATTAACACACACACGCATTCACTACGGCCAACACGGGGAGAACATGCAAACTCCAAACAGAAACGCCAACTGACCCAGTCTGGACTCGAACCAGTGACCTTTCTGCTGTGAGGCCACAGTGCTAACTACTGAGCCACTGTGCCACCGTGTAGAGTTTTGCATTGAACAAAACAGCAGCATAGCTCCTTTTTTACATGATAAAAGAGCGTGAAGGTCTGACCTGCAGAGTTTCCAGCAAAACGTCTGAAGATTTGCTGCCGTCTCGACACCTATAAACAACACAAAGCCTCATTAACCGTCCCAGAACTGTTTAGCTGGACCTGCGAGTCATCACACACACCCCTGTCCCGGTCTGTGATCCATGTGCCCGCACTTCACCTTTGTTTTTTCTGACATGAAAATCCCTCCATCTTACAAAAAGCATAGGGGAAAGTACTTTACAGCAAGCAATAGCCAAAATGTTCAACACGAGTAACACACTGGGGGGGTGCAAATTATTTTTCTTAGGGTGCAGTGCCCCTTTTGCCACCCCCCCATCCCCACCCACCCTGCATTGCCGGGCCTGCCTTACTGTAAAGTATGACACAAAAAAATCTATAATTTTGATTCATGCAATGTATTGTAGGGTATTTAAGCAGCTTAAGACTAGTTTTGTTCAGCACTAAAGCAGGAGAAACAGCAGCTGTCTGTGGCTCTTCAACACATGCACATGAATAATCCCTCTCCATTCTCTTCTTCTTTTTTTCTCTTTTCCAGGAGATTTTCACCTCTTGCCACTCACTTAGCCATCATGTGCACCGCCGCGGTCTGTTTATTTGCTGAAAGACACACCAGGAAGTGCAGCTTCAAACACGGCCTGCAGTTATAAACCTCATTCCTCTGAGCGGCCCACCTGCATGCAGACACCTGGCCCAAACACAGGGAAAATTCCAGAGCAGTGGACGCACATCCCATTTCCAGCTCTCCCAAACAAAGACTGTCTGGAGCGGCACATTTCAGAAGAGGTACAGACAGAACAGCGTGATGCTACACTCTAAAAAATGCACAGTTGTTTCAGCCCCATTTTGGGTCAAATATGGACAAAACCCTGGGTTATTATTATTCATTAAATTAAATACAGAATTTCTGATTAATTCAAGGTCTGGAAAGGGCTTAAAAGCAAACCGCGCTCCTCTAAAGTGCTTGAATTGAAAGTTCAAGATGTTTGATCAACTATCGCACTGTGCTGCTTTCGAAAAACTAAATTCATCATTTTAAAATCTTAAATTTAAAGAACTATGACAAATAATGCACGTTTGATCAATATTTCAGAAATATTTCAGAATATTAAAGGTGCTGTGCATTTATTTGACTCTTCTAAAGCATAAAAACACCATGACGTGTGTGCAGATATTCAGAAACATGCTCAGTGCACATTCATGTTTATCTGAAACACAATGCTCTAGTCTGCTTTGAGAATGTGTGTACGTGCCGGAGCGGCTGTCTTTGTTTTGGTTTCTTTAACCCGCCCACTGCCAGTTTAGCCAATCATATTTCAGCACCCCAGGTTGCCAGATGGTGGAAAACAGCGTATTTCCTTTATTCAGTCATGAAGGCTTTTAAAGCAGGGGTCACCAATCTCTGTCCTGGAAGGTCCGGTGTCCCTGCAGGTTTTAGCTCCAACTTGCCTCAACACACCCGCCTGGATGTTTCAAGTATACCTAGTTTGACCTTGATTAGCTTGTTCAGGTGTGTTTGATTAGGGTTGGAGCTAAAATATGCAGGACACCGGCCCTCCAGGAACAAGTTTGGTGACCCCTGTTTTAAAGTGTGCATCCTCGACCAAAATGCACCCTCTGGTGGACAGTAGCAGACTCTGAAATGAGATGCAGATTCAGAGTTCCACATGAGGTTATTAATTAATAATATAAATATTATGAGTTTAAACATTAAGTGAGCAGGTCCCATTGTAACCCCGTGTCTGAACAATGCACTACCTGACGAGATACGCATTTAACCCAATCTAATGAAGACATATTAAAGCTCTTGAACATGATTAAATGTAGATGCTGAATCACTGATATGTGTTGGTTTGCACTGAGTCTCAGCTCTGAAGTTCAATCTCAGCCGGTTTATTGTATTCTCCAGATCTGAGCTGAACTATCTGCTGCTGCTGTCAGTAGTACAGCAATAAATGTCATGTCAGACTCACATTATCAGCATTTAACACTGAATAAAGCACATGAGCTGTACCTGAGCTGGTCATTGTCAGGTTGTAAGAAGTGAAACTGTTTCTGAAATAGAAGTTTCCGGTGTTGTTTTGGACAAAAATTCCTTTTAATATGGAGGATATTCCTCCGTTGCTTTTATATACTCTCTCTGAAAGAAAGGTACAGGAGATGGGGCTGTATCTTTTCAAAAGGTACATATTCGTACCTAAAGGGTCCATTAAGGCACCTCAAAGGTACTTTTTAGGTACATTTAAGTACTAATATGCACCTTTTAGGTACCACTGTGGACTATTTGGGTACAAATATGTATTTTTTGAAAAGGTACTGCCCCAGTGACAGCTCCCATGCCTTTATTTCTGAGAGTGTAGAACACAACTTAAATCAGCCTTAAACCAGTCTTTAAGCTTGACAGTCAGGCACACTGCTGTTGATGTCGTCAATCTGGCAACCTGTGCTTGCATGTGTTTTGAACCAGGAATGCAATACCTAGTTCAACCACTGGGTGTCAAACTTACACACTGCACCTTTAACTGGATTGAAGTCAACAAATTGCATTAAAGTTCTTTGGACATAAAATAGTCTAAATTGTTGAAAGTGACAAGCTGAAATAGTCCTTTGAAAGTCCTTGAGTTTGGTGTCCATGAAAATATAAAATATATATTTGACCCAATTTAAGTTGAAATAACCCTGTTTCTACAGTCACCAGACATAAACATTCCCTTAGTACATATGAATTAATTATATATTAGGGCTTTTATTCATTTTAAATCACAACAAACATTAATTAGGAATATAATTCTACCCTAATTTGTCCAAAGTGTTTATTGTCATGCAGTTTTTGTAGATTTCACAGGATACATGTCTGTGTTTCAGCAAATGGGATGGTTTTTGGTGACGAATCTTATTTTGACACAAAGTTTGGAAAAATGCTTTGCCAATTAAAAAAACCAAACAAATCAACAATAAGCTCAAATATATTAATCTATCATCATGTTGGGGCTGTTTTTGCCCCATTGACTTCTAATATAATGCCATTTTTTATTGCAAAGACATGACAGCATATAATCATGCATTCTTGATTGCTGCTGGTTTTTCCTGTCAGGAAGAGCAACAATTAACAATTTTTACTGTTGATCAGCCGTTGCAGTGCAAAAAAGCTGTGTGTCTGGCTTCTATATGGAGTAAAGTGTGTGTGGCCTTCTCAGACCTTCATACATCTGAGAGAATCAAATGATACCCTCAACTGTTAGAGCACTGTAAACACAGTAGGTGTATTTCTGCACACACACACACACACACACACACACACACACACACACACACACACACACACACACACACACACACACACACACACACGTTTTAAAAAAGCCAGAAACTCTTCAGCACAGGCCAATCTAAAGTGTTAATGCTGACAACTGATGATCCAACAAGGAAAACCAGCAACAATCAGGAATGCATGATCATCTGCTGTCATGACTTTACAATTAATAAATGTGATTATAATGGAATTCAACGGGGCAAAAACAGCACCAACATCACCAAAGGGGAGTCAATCTGAACACAAAGTCAATTGGAGTTTTTGTAAGAAACTGCTTGACTATAGGAAATGCTGGCTTTTGTCCTGTTTTCATGATATTGTCTGATGTATGGGATCAGTAGCATTCAGTGCAGTGTTTAAAGAATACAGCTTTATGACCTTCGCCATCTGGTTTTCACATTGAGGGACCAAATGAAAGCCTTCTGTCAGTGTCTTTTGAAAGAATTCTTCTGTTTCAGCATCTAGAGGAGCTTACATAACACACACACACACACACACACACACGCTGGAAAAAAGGAGCCAGTGAGTTGTTGAAAGGTGCAGATTCCCTGAGTTAAACAGAGTTAAAGGTATTCGGGTTAAAGCCCCATTGAGAACAGCTGCATCTAACCAAGAGAAGCAAAACCATGAGAATATCTAGAGAAGCAAATGGATTTACTGATGAACTAGAATCTAATTACACATTCGGCAATATAATCTTACAATAATAATATGGTACACATTTAGGGTGAGGTGATCAGACTACTTTGGATTACATTTAGATTACTTTTGCGCTAACACTAATTTGATGTCACATGGATTGTATAGTAGACATGTATGGAGATGTAATCTGACTACTTTTGGATTACATTTAGATTACTTTTGTGCTAACCCTTATTTGACGTCACATATATTGAAGATGGATAATCTTGTGCTATTCTGACAGATATGCATTTAATAAATCTTCATTGTTTTTGATCAACTAGAGGCTGAGCAGCTTGTGTGTAAAGTGCACTGATGGATAGTTAACATTTCACAACACACACACTTATATACGCCTCACTGTTAGTGTTTAACACTGAATAACAGTAAACCACATCTGATCAGTTTAAAACTTCACAATAAACACATTTAGAAAACAGCAGCATTACAAAAAACTAATGATGCACAGCAAAATCACTGAGACATCAAATATTTAATCTAAAAAACACTAGAAGTGAAAAGCAGCAACAATAACACACTGCTTATGTAAAGAATCACAAGAGTATATAAGCAGCAGGGCTATTATGAACAATATCAACTTTAAAAAAGAGACAAACTGGTACAAATAATGCATTTGGAACGATGTATTTCCATTGTGTCAATAATATTTAATTGTTTAATCCATCAAAAGTAACTGTAATCTGATTATGAGTATTTTAAAGAGTACTTTAATAACAAGTACTTGATTTTAAAAATCTGATTACATATGTTCCATTAATGTCCATTATTAGCTATTAAACAACATAATCTCTTTTTGCCATTTATTAATTCTCCGTCATCTGAATGTTCGTAATTTATAAATTAAGAACCATTTGGACCATTCCATAGTATAGAACTTTAATTAATCTGTTGTGGTGATTCTACAGTTGCTATGGTAACATGACAACTATTATAATTAATCTGTTGTGGTGATTCTACAGTTGCTATGGTAACATGACAACTATTATAATTGATCTGTTGTGGTGATTCTACAGTTGCTATGGTAACATGACAACTATTATAATTAACCTGTTGTGGTGATTCTACAGTTGCTATGGTAACATGACAACTATTATAATTGATCTGTTGTGGTGATTCTACAGTTGCTATGGTAACATGACAACTATTATAATTAACCTGTTGTGGTGATTCTACAGTTGCTATGGTTACATGGCAACTATTTTAATTGATCTGTTGTGGTGATTCTACAGTTGCTATGGTAACATGACAACTATTATAATTGACCTGTTGTGGTTATTCTACAGTTGCTATGGTAACATGGCAACTGTTTTAATTGATCTGTTGTGGTGATTCTGTTGTTGCTATGGTAACATGGCAACTGTTTTAATTGATCTGTTGTGGTGATTCTGTAGTTGCTATGGTAACAAGACTACTGTTGTAATTGATTTGTGGTGGTGAATCTACAGTAACTATGGTAACATGAAACTATTGTAATTGACCTGATGTGGTGATTCTATCGTTGCTACGGTAACACAACATCTGTAGCAATATACTGTAAATAAAGACCAAATGCTGTAGTTTTCTAAAACTATAAGGTATATTTTACTTCAAAACACCAAAGTTTACTGTAGTAAAAGCTAAAGTATTATATATATTATAGTATTTATTACAATTTATCAGTTCACTGTATGCTTTCAGATGTAGTTCTGATAGTTTCCTGGACACTGTTCAGTGGGAGGCCTTCCTGAGAACTCAACCTCCGCACAGCTCGTTAACCTCTGCACACACACAC